ACTATGTGAGAGACTGAAGCGCGATCTTCCGTAGGCTACGTCGCCGGCTATACAATATATTATAGGCATTACCTGAACAATAAGCGACTGTAAACAGTGTGATTTGGACCTAAATGCTTTCTGCCAATCGTACAGCTTTAGCTAAGGTATAGTTTTGTAGGCCTATAGGCTTGTTTACTTGAAGAAATAAACGCTTTTGACGAGCTCTAAAGCTCTTTTAGTCTAGGACCTGTTAATATATTAATCTTCAAACTTCAAAGATATATATATATATATATATATATATATATATATATATATATATATATATATATATATATATATATATATATATAAACGGCAGTGCCGACATAGCTCTAACTTCCGAAAAGCACAAGCGACAGCCTTTCTGAAGTGCTTATAGTGTTTAGAAGGGTTTCTTTTAGGGGTGGTTATTGGAAGGAAAAATTTGTGTAAGTATAATATTTTACAAGAAAATGACCATTCATCACCCCAGGTAAATTGCTGATTATGCAGAAAATAACTAATATACATGGTAAATTGCTGATTATGCAGAAAATAACTAATATAAATGCCACTTCTTCGTCTTCATATGTATTTAGATTACAGTATCCAAGAGTACTTCATTGTAGAATAGTCCTAGAAGAAAAATTGAAAAAATTACTTGCACTTTAAAGGAAAAAACCTCCCACAACAAATTCAGGATAGGAATAAAAACAAATCATTTGAAAGTCACGCGCAATCTTCGCGAAAATTCCTTGACAGGGGGGGCGAATATTTTCACGAAACGTTGTTCGCCACCACAGAAATTCAAGTTTCAACTAAATATATTGTATTTATTGTATTTTATGATTTAAAAATAAAAATTAAAAACATTAAATATTTACGTATTTTTATTATCAATCATAAAAATGCAATAAATATAATATATCCAGACATCCAGTTAGGTTGCTGTGGGAACGTTTCGTGAAAATATTCGCCACCCCCTGTCAAGTAGCCACGAGGAATTTTCGCGAAGATTGTGCGTGACTTTCAAATGATTTGTTTTTATTCCTATCCTGAATTTGTTGTGGGAGGTTTTTTCCTTCAAAGTGCAAGTCATTTTTTCAATTTTTCTTTTAGGATTATTCTACAATGAAGTACTCTTGGATACTGTAATCTAAATACATACGAAGACGAAGAAGTGGCATTTATCGGGCAGAGAATCGGCGAGCCATTAAAATGGCGGCATATGGACGAAATATCGAAGGACACAATATCGAAGATAAAATGCACTGCACTGCTTGCCAAAACTTGGTTGAAATCTCCTTTAGCCATTTGCCATTATGTAAAAGTACAACAACTGGATGTTATTTGCGAGACACGGCGATATAAAGCAAACAAGACGGCAAAATATGGCTGAAATCGTGTTTTCGTGGGGGGTAAGTGAAATAAAATATATTATATTTATAGAAAACAGTGACTATCCTTATGAAAACTACAATAATTATATTAAATTAAGCATAGTTTTTCATCCCATGGTAATTTTTTTTAGGAAATAAGGATATTTAATTTCTGCCATGTATATTAGTTATTTTCTGCATAATCAGCAATTTACCTGGGGTGATAAATGGTCATTTTCTTGTAAAATATTATACTTACACAAATTTGTCTTCCAATAACCACCCCTAAAAGCAACCCTTCTAAGCACTATAAGCACTTCAGAAAGGCTGTCGCTTTGGCTTTTCGGAAGTTAGAGCTATGTCGGCACTGCCGTTTCAGGGCGGGGTCATTTTCAGGACTTTCGTCAAGGATTCAGGTTTTGGCACATATGCCATGTTGACTGCCATGGTCATTGTACCCTAAAACAGTTGAGATTACCTGTGGTAAATGAAACGCATACAAACTCATATACAGGTCCTAGACTATTTGGTTATTTATTGAACTACATGACTCGACGTTGATTACATACGGTTATTCGGGTCAAATAGGGGTACGAAAAAAATACGTCAAAATTCAATTCTAAGTTGCCCCAAAATTTTATTTGATCAATAGCAAGCGAAAACATATTTCTTTGACCTGGTTATGAATTTCTTGTCTGAATCGATGTAACAATGGAGATATTCGCTGCCTAATATGGCATAATAATAAAGAGGTTCAAAAATAAAAAAACATTAAGAAAATCTGTCAAATATTCACTTTTAACAGAAATGTCTATAAATTTCGTCTGCTACTCAATAAATAACTCTAATTTATAAAACGAAATCACATTTTGTGAAATATTCCCATTATCGTGCAAAATAGAGCGATTTTGGTAGTGCCATAAAATGACCTCTAAAAATCGAAAGTGGCCTGGGAAAACCAATTTCGACGTCTCTCTCCTTACTAATATTTATCCGATCGAAATTAAACTTTCACAACATTAATACTTCATATAGGCCTACATTCTGACAAAGTTTGAAAGATTTTGAATGCTCTCATTTTACACGTCTTACCTGACTATTACAGACAACCGCTCTTAATTAAGATGCTATGTTTTTCAAAATAGTTTAAAACTTGTGAGTATACATAGTTTCTCAAATATTTGTGCAAAAGAATAAAGAGTAGAAATAGCTCTGTAGTTTGACGGATCAGTTGATTCTCCATCTTTTTCTACTGGAGTTATTCTGGATATTTTCAAGATATCAGGCATATATATAATGCCTTGTTCAAGAGAAAAATTGAATACTGATGTTAACGCTTCGCTAATGTGGTTAGCAGCCAGTTTGATACATTTTTGTGGGATGTCAATCGTCGTTTTATTATTTTTAATTCGCACAATATATGGCGCACCTAGCTCGTGGACATCAATAGGACGAAACATAAAACTGTCTCTAAATGTTCTTGTAATATATTGGACTGGGTTAGAGTCATTGTGATAGGGGATGTTGTCAGCTAAACTAGGTCCAACATTTACGAAATAAGAATTAAGTTTTCGACAAATATCTTGTTGCTCAGTATAACACCTATTGTTATAAAAAAAGTTTATTTACGGAGGTTGTTGATTTCTTTTTCCTTTGAATTAACGCTCCAATTAAGGCCCAGGTGGCTTTTATGTTTTGCTTGTGAAGATTAAATTGAGCTGCTAGTAATCTGATTCTCTTAGTAAATTTTTAAAATTTTATTTAGTTTGTTGTTATATATCCTATATTGTTTGACCTTTTCTGTATCTTTACTAAGAAAATGAGTTCTAAACATTTTTTGCCTTTTTTATAGATCTCCGGACTCATTAAGTAATGAATTAACTGAGTTATAAATCCACGCTCCTGTTTCTTTATAAAATTCTTCATCCGTACGATTATATAGAATGGAAGTTCACTTAGCATCATAATGGACTTAAGTACTAATTAGTATATATGAGCATCATGCATAAATGAAAGCATTGTTTAACTAAATAACATAGAATATCGAAGCTTTAACGCTTTTCAACCTTAACAATACGTTTTTAATAGCTCTATACAGTATAATATGTGGTTTAATATCGTCATGTTAAATAAATATAAATACCAAATCATGGACGACACCCTGAATCCTTTAATGCCTTCGGTATATTCATCTTTGAAAGCGTTGTTGAAACTTTTCGAGGTCATTAGATGTATTAAAAACATAATGTTCGGTCGGCGCTTCATTTTTTCTTATGTAGATTCTTCCACTATATGCGTCCAAATAAACTTCCAGTTTAGCTTTTTTCTTAATCTGTTACTAACATCGCCGTAAAGCTTTTTCCTTTGAGGAATAAGGGATTCCGATATATATATATATATATATATATATATATATATATATATATATATATATATATATATATATATATATATATATATATAATATTAATGAGACCAAAAATGATCAAATTTTACAGTGTAGAAAGAGTGCTCAATACCATTTAATAACGTAGAGCAAATAATTAATTTGTTAACTTAAAATATAGTCACAACTCTGAGTTTCACGCTCAATGCGATCTTCAGGCGACAATGTTTCAATCTCGATTAAAAATTCCTGTATGGATACGTGCGAGTGCGTTAGGCTACTTGCGTGATTGTATTGCGTGCGCACGTTCAAATTTTCCCGCCAAGAATTGCTTCCGGTGGCAACACTTTGGGAATAGCTCACATCTCTTGTTCAACAATCTTTTCTTGTCACCTTTTAAAATTTCCAGTTTCTCTTGTAGGCATAGGTTGCAACTTTTTGCGCCGCTGCGATAAAGTGATGCTTGCTTCAGAATGGACCACTTGATGTTGAATGTACGTTTCTTGTTTTTCAAGTTCCAAATGTGTTTGGACAGCTCAGTGGATTTAACATAGCTGGTATCTTTGAATGAGGTCTTGTGGTTGTAAAAACGTTTCTTAAACGTGTTTGATGTCATCCCAATATAATCTCGAATTACTCCTGTGTCGTCCGTAACCTCGGCTTTATAGACAACGCTCTTTGTAAGGCAATTATTGTTTAAGGGACATTCAGTGCTTTCTATGCAGTTACAGTTTTCTTTGGTAGATGCTACTACATCACTTTTATTCTTTAAAAGGTAACCGAAGTTATGTTTGGAGATAACGCTTTTACAGTTATCCATGCAACTATAGCTTACTTTGACCGAGTTTCTGTTAAAAATCTTGTGTAGCGGATTATAGACGCAGGGAAATGTTTGTCGATCAGGTTTAGAAAGTTTCTAGCAACATTTGTTCTTACATTCTTGCTAAAAGGTGGGTTAAACCAAATTATATTTCTTGTTCTTGTTCTATTCTTTTGTTTATTATTTGGGGAGTAGCGTAAATTTGTTGGGTAATGACTACGGTGGAGCGCGGCTTCATAAAGAGGTGCAGACTTCGAGAAAGCTTCTTGATTCGATGATAACTGAGAAATTCGGTTGCCCACAGAAGATGGGAGTTGCTTTGTAATTTAAGGAGGGTGGTTTGAATGACTGTCAATGAAAAGTGGTTCATTGTTAGGCTTTCGATAGGGTTGGTAGCTTTCATCATTTAAATTTATCTAGGAAGTTGACAGATTGGTGGGTAATTTCTGCAGTGATTTTCAATTTCAACTTTTCTATGAGTTTCAATTGAAAATCACCGCAGAAATTACCCACCAATCTGTCAACTTCCTAGATATTACCTTAAATTTAAATGATGAAAGCTACCAACCCTATCGAAAGCCTAACAATGAACCACTTTTCATTGACAGTCATTCAAACCACCCTTCTTCAATTACAAAGCAACTTCCATCTTCTGTGGGCAACCGAATTTCTCAGTTATCATCGAATCAAGAAGCTTTCTCGAAGTCTGCACCTCTTTATGAAGCCGCGCTCCACCGTAGTCATTACCCAACAAATTTACGCTACTCCCCAAATAATAAACAAAAGAATAGAACGAGAACAAGAAATATAATTTGGTTTAACCCACCTTTTAGCAAGAATGTAAGAACAAATGTTGGTAGAAACTTTCTAAACCTGATCGACAAACATTTCCCTGCGTCTAATCCGCTACACAAGATCTTTAACAGAAACTCGGTCAAAGTAAGCTATAGTTGCATGGATAACTGTAAAAGCGTCATCTCCAAACATAACCTCGGTACCCTTTCAAAGAATAAAAGTGTTGTAGGAGCATCTACCAAAGAGAACTGTAACTGCATAGAAAGCACTGAATGTCCCTTAAACAATAATTGCCTTACAAAGAGCGTTGTTTATAAAGCCGAGGTTACAGACGACACAGGAGTAATTCGAGATTATATTGGGATGACATCAAACACGTTTAAGAAACGTTATTACAACCACAAGACCTCATTCAAAGATACGAGCTATGTTAAATCCACTGAGCTGTCCAAACACATTTGGAACTTGAAAAACAAGAAACGTACATTCAAAATCAAGTGGTCCATTCTGAAGCAAGCATCATCTTATCGCAGCGGCGCAAAAACTTGCAACCTATGCCTCCAAGAGAAACTCGAAATTTTGAAAGGTGATAAGAAAAGATTGCTGAACAGGAGATGTGAGCTATTCTCGAAGTGTTGCCACCGGAAACAATTCTTGGCGGGAAAATTTGAACGTGCGCACGCAATACCATCACGCAAGTAGCCTAACGAACTCGCACGTAATCACACAGGAATTTTTTTATTGAGATTTAAACAATACATTGTCGCCTGAAGATCGCATTGAGCGTGAAACTCAGAGTTGTGACTATATTTTAATTAAGTTAACAAATTAAATTATATATATATATATATATATATATATATATATATATATATATATATATATATATATATATATATATATATATATATATATATAATTACTATTCTTACTTAAAATGTTTTTTTGTCTCTACTCCGAGTTTCACGCATCACTGCGATCATCAGGAGACATTGTTCTCAAATACCGTTTGATTTTCGTTGTTTGATGGCGTGACTGCGCGCGCGCGCGAGGATTGTTGATGTTGCTTACACGCGCGCAGACTACATTTCCCGCTAAAAATTGTTTCTGATGCACGCACTTCGAGAAGATTTCCGATCTTTTGTTGAGTAGATTTTTGTCGCGAGATTTTAAAATCAGCAGCTTCTCTTGCAAGCACAGGTTGCATCTGGGTCTTCCGCTTGTGTATGGCACAGCCTTCTTCAGAATGGACCAAGTGGTGTTGTAAGGTCTTCCGCTTCTCTTCAATTTCCAAATATGCTTCGATAGCTCCGTTTCGTTGGCATATCTCTGAAGCTGGAATGATTTTTTATGGTTTCTGTACCTGTCTTTGAATTCCCCAGCTGTTACCCCAATATACCGCTTCGTTTCACCGTTGTCGTGACTCTTTACTTCGGCTTGGTACACGATAGCCTGGGTCAGACATTTCGTCTGGAGGGGGCATTCATCTTTCTTGCGGCAGTTACAGTTAATTTCTTCTGTTGCCGTGGGTTCGGTCGATCTAATTCTCGTGTTGTGGTTAGAAATGGTTGTCTTGACATTCTTCATGCAGCTGTAACTAATTTTGATTGAATTGCGGTTAAAGATCTTATGTAGACGACTTGATTTAGGGAAATGTTTGTCGATAAGTTGAAGAAAGGTTTTACCAATGTTTGTTGCTACGTTTTTGCTGTAAGGTGGGTTAAACCATAGTATGTTTCTGTGTCTTTTGCGTTTGGGTTGGCTGGACGTACAACTCTCAGTGTTGGGGTCGTCAATATTACTTGAAGGCGTGGCATTGTATTGTAAATTAAAATCATAATTACTACGACGTAATGCATTCTCGTAGGTTGATGCTGATGAATTGAAGGTTTGCTGATCAGAGGATAAATTTGATATACGGTGATTTATTGATTTAGGTAGTTGTTTAATTATGGTTGGTGGGTGGTTCGAGCGACTGTCAATGTAAATGGGTTCATTATTGGGTTTTCTATATGGTTGGTAGCGTTCCTCTGCAAGGTTGAATGTGACGTCTAGAAAGTTGACAGATTGGTGGTTTACTTGGGCCGTAATTTTCAAGTTGAACTGTTCGAATAATGTATGCAACTTTTTCCGTATCTTATCAGCAATGCGCCCGCTCTTTCCTTTGATTAAAACAAGTCCGTCATCCCGATACAAACCAACACGTTCTTTCCCAAACTCATTGGTAAGGACATTTAGCATATATAAGCCGACAAGATCACATATTTCAGCGCCGTCATAACTGCCCATCGTTACATCAAAAAGAGATTTAGAGTTTTGTTTAATCCATGTATCGTTGTTGCTGAACAGAAATGAGGTACGTGCGTGTTTGATAATCTTTTCTTCTTGATCAGTGATTGGTGTGATAGTCCGAGCCCAGCATATAGCTTTATCCAGCAATTCTTCCGTGATAGATGGATAGAATTCCGCGATGTCAAAAGAAATAAAGATGATAAAACATTGGTAAAACCTTTCTTCAACTTATCGACAAACATTTCCCTAAATCAAGTCGTCTACATAAGATCTTTAACCGCAATTCAACCAAAATTAGTTACAGCTGCATGAAGAATGTCAAGACAACCATTTCTAACCACAACACGAGAATTAGATCGACCGAACCCACGGAACAGAAGAAATTAACTGTAACTGCCGCAAGAAAGATGAATGCCCCCTCCAGAAGAAATGTCTGACCCAAGCTATCGTGTACCAAGCCGAAGTAAAGAGTCACGACAACGGTGAAACGAAGCGGTATATTGGGGTAACAGCTGGGGAATTCAAAGACAGGTACAGAAACCATAAAAAATCATTCGAGCTTCAGAGATATGCGAACGAAACGGAGCTATCGAAGCATATTTGGAAATTGAAGAGAAGCGGAAGACCTTACAACACCACTTGGTCCATTCTGAAGAAGGCTGTCCCATACACAAGCGGAAGACCCAGATGCAACCTATGCTTGCAAGAGAAGCTGCTGATTTTAAAATCTCGCGACAAAATCTACTCAACAAAAGATCGGAAATCTTCTCGAAGTGCGTGCATCAGAAACAATTTTTAGCGGGAAATGTAGTCTGCGCGCGTGTAAGCAACATCAACAATCCTCGCGCGCGCGCGCAGTCACGCCATCAAACAACGAAAATCAAACGGTATTTGAGAACAATAGTGAGCTTAAGCAAGTGACGTTTTTGACAACACGAACGGCATGAGTAACGTCAGAAGACTGGGTCAAGAGCTGTGATTGGTGAAAAACGTCAACTTTACTTCCGGTTGACGTCCGTGTTCTCAAAAACGTCACTTGCTTAAGCTCACTAATGTCTCCTGATGATCGCAGTGATGCGTGAAACTCGGAGTAGAGAAAAAAAAATTTTAAGTAAGAATAGTAATTACATTCGCTCTACAAAATTTTATGTATTGAGCACTCTCTTCACTATACGTTACAAAACTTGTGATATATATATATATATATATATATATATATATATATATATATATATATATATATATATATATATATATATATTTGCCATGGGCAAATATCACAAGATAAGAGGGCTTTGTTGACATTCAGACAATTACGCCGAAGCTAAATATATTTTAAAACTACCGAACTTTCGAAATATTTCTATTTGCCGTAATTTGGAGATAAAAAGATAGTCGCTATCATAACGCGCATCCATGTAGTTTGTTTTTTGTGTTTTTGCTTTTTAATATTTCGCCGTTATCTTGATACCTCATACCTTTGGCTTTGTAATAAAATACAATAAGATCATTGAACTTGTCAGTTGGCATGGTAAAAATAGATATAATTGTTTTGTTATCAGTTTTTGTTACGACACCTTTATTTTGTCTTTGCCTCGGCTTTGGCGAAGCTTTCGATGCGAATCCGGTCTTCATTGGTAATGGTGGTGCTATTAATAATAATAATTTAATACACTAATTGAAAGTTGTGAAGATCCATGCAGGCTTACGGAGCTAGCGGTAATACAACATAACCGTGATATTTCCAAAAATGGCCTTCAAACAATTACATTTTCCAGCATGTATGCAATCAAACCATGCAGCGAAATTGACTATGTTCACCTATGATGCTTGTGATGTTACTCTGAGTGTTTATCCACACCGGGCAGGCTTGAAAAATATGCCTGGCCACGGTGGGAATCTAACCTACGACCTTTGGAATACTAGCCCAACGCTCTGCTAACTGAGCTACGCGGTCAGGTCGGTTCGAGATGCGATATTTCAGAACTGAGTCTAGTTCCTTCGATATCAATGTAATCTAATAATTATGATATTTGTTGAAACAAATATCATAATTATTAGATTACATTGATATCGAAGGAACTACAATCAGGAGCAAAAATTATTGAGACAACCACATAAGTGCCCCCCTCACTCCCAATTCTATGTTGTGTGGATGACTGAAAAGAGAAAATTCAACTCTCTTTTTCCAACATTGATCATGGGGGCAGGGGGGAGGCCGACGTACTTTAAAATGGCCAAAAATGTGAAAAGTCTCATTATTTTTGCACGCGATTGAATCAGGAGCAAAAATTATTGAGACAACCGCATAAGTGGCCCCCTCACCCCAATTCAATGTTGTGTGGATGACTGAAAAGAGAAAATTCAACTCACTTTTTCCAACATTGATCATGGGGGCAGGGGGGAGGCCGACGTACTTTAAAATGGCCAAAAATGTGAAAAGTCTCATTATTTTTGCACGCGATTGTAGACTCAGTTCCGAAATATCGCATCTCGAACCGACCTGACCGCGTAGCTCAGTTGGCAGAGCGTTGGGCTAGTATTCCAAAGGTCGTAGGTTCGATTCCCACCGTGGCCAGGCATATTTTTCAAGCCTGCCCGGTGTGGATACACACTCAGAGTAACATCACAAGCATCTTATTCACCGAGTACACCAACACAACAAATATTATGTTCACCTGACATCATATTAATAATATTATGTCAAAAAAAATATAATAATAATAATAATATAATAATAATAATAAAATAATAACAATAATAATAATAATATAATAATAATGATATAATATATATATATATATATATATATATATATATATATATATATATATATATATATATATATATATATATATATATATATATATATATATATAATATGATATATATAATAATAATAATATAATAATAATATATATAATATATAATAATATTATAATATATATATATATATATATATATATATATATATATATATATATATATATATATATATATATATATATATATATATATATATATATTATAATATATATATATTATTATTATTATATAATATATATATTTAATATAATATTAATAACTTACTGACCGAGAGTGAGGGAGTGAGGGCAGTACGGGAAAATATCCAACCGAGGTCTTGCTGACCAACCGAGGTCTTGCTGTATTGACCGAGCGATAGCGAGGTCAATACAGCAAGACCGAGGTTGGATATTTTCCCGTAATGCCCGAACGGTTGAGGTCAGTAAGTTTTTTATTATATATATGGCATTCTACGTTTGTAAAAAATGGAAGAAAAGGTCACGCGAGGGCAAAGTACAAAGTCCGAAACATTTGCAAAAAAAAACCCGCAATTGTAAAAAATGTTCTCTTGGTTAGTAAAACTGCTCTACAGTACTTTTTATATAGAATACTAACACAGTTTGGATAGTATTTCAAGAAAAATACGAGGTATTTCGTCATTTAATCAAAGACAACAAATATGAAAACAATAAAATTCAATAAAATTACAAAAACAAGTACGTTTTTAGTTCGCTTCATCTCATATTTATGTCTCTTTTTATCTAACAAAAACAGAAATTTGTATTTTTTATTTAGGATGATGTCAAATTCCTCCTGGCTATCTGCAAATAAAATTTGCAGCTCTTCGCATTGTCAAAACACAACTATTCCTGACTGCTTTTATAGTTATAAACATTGTAAAATTTACCTTGTAATTTTGACTTTCGCTAACATAAACGTATGGAGAAAGTTCTTTAACCACAGCAGTTGCTCCTCTTTTTATTTTAGGTTTATTTTTCTTCGTTTTGAATAGTTTTGAAAGACTTTTAGACACTTTTTGCTGTTTGAAACTCGGCTCTCGTCGCAGGGCAATAAAAATTGCGTATTGCCCGTGGGCAATACGGGAAAATCC